ACCGCCCGGCCGATGCTTTCCAATGGATACCGCTAAAGCTCATCCTTTCTACGATCTTCCGTTACGTTCCTTTCCTTACAGCTCTGTCCGATATCGCTACTATATACTGTGCACATCCCTCTCCACCTGTCTCCTGGCCAGGGGGCACTCCCTTTTACCACAGGCGGCGCAGATTCTGCAAGCATCCTAGTAGGATGATCCTACCGAGCATGGCTCTGAATGAGAAGCAGCAATAGAATAGCCATTTGGTCATTCATGGTCGTGACGGTGGCTGCTCGTTGGTGAAAACACCATCATGATTGAGCTCACAGCACACACTGTAGTTAGACCTCTGACGGCGTCATCGCCGGCGTCCGGTGAGTACAAAGCATGCGTACAGTAGGGTGCATACAGTAGGGTGCATACAGTATTATATTCTTGTACAGTACAATGATATTCTTTTACAATAAATAATATTCATTGTACAAGAATATAATATGCAACTCCCGTTTCGGAAAGTGCGATTCCAGCTCAAATTCGCCTGTCCCCGACATACAGCATACAAGAATACGACATTGTGAACAAGGAAGCTTATGTAAGGTGTGAACACCTACCATTTTTGGTCATCCCAGCCATGTACTGTACACCATAAAGCACTGACATACAGTATGAATATTAAACTCCGGCAGTTTCAAAATTTGCTGCTGCGACGTGAGTTGGTGTGAGTTGTGTTGCTCTCGGCCCTTTGCGGGTGCTGCAGGGACGTTTGCGATCGCAGAGGATCGATGGGATGGCTCAGACGCAAATTACTACATTCTTTGGCAGTGAAAGTAACTTTCAGTACACCGGACGCGCAGTAGAAACATGAGAACGTCCCCAAACATCGTAATAGAACAAATTCGCACTTCTTGCGTCATATTCTGGAGAAAATTTCTTACGCCCCCCCTTTTATTTGGGAATTTTTGTTACGTGCCCCTTTTATAAGCCCCTTTATACAAGCCCCTTTCCTTGGGGGCGCTAGAGTGATGAAAAGGTGAAGAGGGCGTCGTCGGAATGAGTTTGATCAAAGGGAGCACGTTCCCTGACAAGCACAACATGTTGCTGCTGCTGCCCTTGCCTCTCAAGTCAACATTGACGTGGATTTGCAGATGCTGCCAATTGCCAGACAGATGAGCGCGTGGAGAGTTCCGAGTCAGGCAGGTCGGCCGAAGAAACGGCTGAAACAGGGGGTCACCATATTCTATCTAAACACTGTATGTACTGTAAGTAAGCATCTAACAACGGAGCCATGCCTAGTGATGCATGGGACTGGGTCTTGTAGATTAGGTAGACGGTTATGCAGTGTGGTATGATGATAGCGTGGAACATTTCGCAAAATGTCTCCCCTTCTCCCTACCAATTCTAGCAATGGAAAACGTACGTATGTGAACGAGATTGACGGTGAGCCCCTTTTCTGGCATCGACAAACTCAGGTGAAAGGAACGTTCTCCCAAATGGTACGGTACATTACGCCCCCTCAGACAAGAAGTGGACTGTTTCACGAACGCACCTGCCTACAAGTGTCATTTGGCGTTTTGACAACCCGGAAGTAGCCTCACCGTGTATGAGAGAAAAGGAATCTGAACGTCTTGGGAAATTTCGTGTGAACTACAGTAGTGTGAGCAGGTCAGAACCATTTTGCTTCCTTGTTTATGATATCAGATCGAGTCCCTACCAAATATGTATCCTGTGGATCTACGGCTGCAGCAATTCAGCTCTGCTCACGTGTGCCTGAATATGCATTTGTTCACGCATTGCATGTCAACATGAGACGCAGCGAGTTATGAAAATATTGAAGCAGATGCTGGGCGGCACAGTCACAGAAAAGCCACAGCTGCTCAAAGGAAGAACCTGACGTCCTCCAATCTCACGATAGGAGACATGAGTGCTACATAGAATTTCGCACAAGCGGCAATTGTGCACTGGTGCTTTGGTTCAAGCCATTTGCTTGCATATTCCAACACTGCAAGCGTTGGAATTGATACAAAAATCAGATCAGCTCTTGCGCTTGCATTGGATCTCTCCTTCCGATCACGGCACCACGATATTCCATTTCTTTTACTGTACGATATGATTTAGGCTCGACCACGGACGTGGCAAATGTGTAGCATACACGAATCGCATTGCTGGCGGTGGTGAGAGCGACAAAGCGGTGTGGCATCCTCCGCCAACAAACGCATCTCTGCCTTCCGCGTTCCCGCCTCCAACATCCTCCATCCTCCAGCTCCCATCCTCCAGCTCCCGCCAGCATCGCCCGCTCAGAACAACCGCGTACCATCCTAGCAAGAAAGCGCGATATCTTTTACAACATCGAGTCCCCACCTTTCCTCTCGCAAACTCGACCAGCAACAGTGCCTCGCGCGCAAGCCACACAAATAAGAACCGCCGCACGGCCGACCGCTCGCGCCGCCGCAAGCTCGCCGTCCTGCGCGACTTCACCGAGCAGCGCGACCGCGCGCACCGCGTCGCGGAC